TAATTTTGGACATTTTTATCTAAATTTTATATGGACTATAAATATTTTATATAAATAATAATAGAAATAAATAAACTTGTTAAAAGCTTAGAAGACAAGTTAAACTTATATTCTAATCCCAGGAAATTTTAGAGAAAAAGTATGATAAAACAATGGTCTAAATCAATATCAAAGGTAAAAGAACTTTGATGAAATACTTAACACTAGGCATCAGACTCCTCCATAATACAGTACTACCGGTTACGTAACGAGCAAGTGATCATTGGTATCTCCATCTATGAACGCGGGACGAACTGTCAGGTCTGCCAGGTCTGCGATGTAAAGACTAAAGATAGCCATCTTATAAAGATGTATAACTTGTACACATTACTGTGCTGACCTGTATGCGATTTTATTGTGAGTTATACAAATTAACATCGTATAAATGTTTGTCACAGGAAAGGAAGTAACTAAAAAGAAGTACAAAAGATGTTTATGTAACTGCTAATTGAAGTATTCCAGCGTACATAAAACTTCATTTGTAGATATATGCGAGGAATGTTAATGAATATGATGTTAAAATTTAAACATCTATGGAATATTTTAGCATTGTTTTAAAAATATATCAAGAAAAGTCTCTACGAGAAACGTTACAAAAAAGACTGGTAATGTTTTATGTTTAGTGGGAGGGAAAACGTATTTTCCAAACATTTTATTTTTTACGATGAAAAATTTTAGCTATAAGACAGAAGCGACTAAGTAATTTGTTGTCTGCTCTCGAATTTTGAGTTTCAAGTTTGTAGGTTAATTGAAAAGAGATAGGTAGAGACAAAGACAAATTTCTCCATATTCTCGATCCATCTGCTCTGAGAACATCGCCTTCGCTCTATGTTCTCGCTCAAAAGCGAAACAAACTTTTGGGATCGCTCTCTGAGCAATTACTACTAGATTGAGCATAAAACGAGTTTGTAGGCGATTGTTGTGTTCGGAACATCTGTAGAGGAAGTGTGGAAGCGGGAACAAGGGAAAAGGTAAATACCCCTCTTGTTCAGTGGCGTATCATTTCTTTGTAAGAACATACATTGTCCAAACTTTTAAATTGTATAAAAACTAAAAAAATCGCTAATTTCACTATTTTTAAAATGTATACCGTCTTAAATGTGTCTGATGCAGGAAATAAAATCACTGTATAGGTCTAATTTTTTCAATTAAAGAATAAAATTTCAAAATCAATCCCTCAATTTTGTTATAAATAAATACAGGAGCGACTAGTTTCAGCCTCACAGGGACATTTCAGGCTTGTAATACAATAATTCTTAATTATTTAAATAGGAACGATATAAGAATAGGTTGGTCATTTACGATAAAAATGAAATAGTATAAATCACAAAAATGGAATTATATTGTAGCATTACAGTATTGTAGAATTAAGCTGTGGAAAACGAAGAATAAAAGCAGCGCAAACTAAACTGAAAATAAGAAAAATGGGTACGGAATCTACAAGAGAAGCGGTTAGAATGAGTAATTACAAATACATTTAAATTGCAAAGGGGATAACAAATAAGGCTGATAATGTATCAAAAAAAAATTCTTGTAGTTCTTGGGTTTTTAGGTGTTTGTAGATTAAATGAAACTCGTGTGTGTGGTTATAGCGTTCGGCACTGATCAGTGCCTTCTTCAGTAGTTTCTATTGGTAATTTTTTTCTCTTGTCATTAAGGGATTTAGGTTAAATTCGGTCCAAACTACAAAACAATATTACCAAATTTACTAAGTTTACCAAATTTAAAGTTAATCGGCAAACTAGAAAAAGTTATTGAGAAAAAATCATGAAAACATTTTTTTTTGACATCCTGTAATTTCGCTATTTTTGAGTTTTCAAAAAAAAAAACACTAAATGGACTTTGGTATTATTTTTTCGAGTAGACTGTTTTTTGCTACCCTGTATATTTGAAATTCGAAATAATAGTTATGTAGTAGCGGTGTACTTCTTATTTTAATCGAATTCTACCTTTAAAAACGGTGTAAAAATTATTATATATTGAGAAAATGGTTACATTTGACCCAGACAATTTTAGAATACAGGATTTATTGGCATAACTTCTCCCAAAAATCATTTCATAATATTATGTTGTGGTTTTCTCTATAAACAAGAAATGTGTACTGAAATCGCCAAAATACCACATTTTTTAAAATATGCTTCTCTGACGTCATAGTAAAAATTAGTGAGATTTTGTAAAAACTACTGTCATACAATTTGTGAATCACCCTGTGATTATAAATGTTTTTAATTGTACGTATTACTAAAACATGTAGTAAACGTGTTTATGCAACATAAATTCAATCTAGCTTGTAGTCATAGGATTGAGTTGGGCCCATTGACACTGTATTTACTAGGTTGAGTACAACTAGAGTTACCAAATTCAACAATACAATTCCTGATATTCCTGATTAAAATTCCGGACATTTCTTTAAAAATCCGGACAAAATAATAGAACTCCAACTTATGACATAATTACTAAACCTTTTATTAAACAAAATACCTTCCCTCAAAAACTAAAAACAGTTCCTCAATTAAAAATTCGTGATATTATACATAAAATATATAAGGCAAAGGGGAAAAAAAACTATATAAGCCAGCAACCGCCTATTAAAAAAACTGATATGTCTAATTATTACAGGCTTTTTTCGGTTATTTTGTACAACCTATTGTATATATACATTTTCCACAAACATTTTTCTATATACATAATAATAAAAAATTTAAATTTTATACTTTTTCTCCAATTTTTCCATTAAGGTCAATTTTGGAGAAATCATGTAAAAACAAAAATTATAGAGATCGATACCGCAAACATCTTTTAGTTTAACAATTTTCTTAAAAATCAGAATTTTTTACATTTTATTTAAAGAATTCACTTCTCCAAACGTAAGTAACAGATATAGTTCATAAAATATAAAAATGACCCCTTATAAAGTGCCCCCCAGATGTTCCGACTCTGCCCAAAATCTAATCAGTTCACCTCAGGTCGGAATAAAGCATAAGTTTAAAATTTAAGGTATTTTCCTAATTCGTTTTTGAGTTTTCTTCAAAATTCAAAATATACACTTTTTCACAAATATCTCGAATACGATCAATTTTAGAGAAATTATGTATGAGACAAGAATTATTATAAACAACTTTTATTTAAACAATTTTCATAAAAATTTGAATTTTTTACATTTTGTAAAATTTTTCGAATACAGACCATTTTAGGAAAATTTTGTAAGAAACAAAAAAATTATAGAAAATTATGTAAGAAGTAACTTTTATATAAACAATTTTCTTCTCCAAACATAAATAACTAATATATTCCATAAACTATAAAAACGACCTTCTATAAAATACCACCCCAGATGTTCCGACTCTGCCCAAAATTTAATCAGTTTACCCTATGCCTGAATAAAGCTTAAGTTTAAAATTTAAAGTGTTTTTTGATATATGATTTTGAGTTTTCTTCAAAATTCGAAATTTACAGTTTTTTTAAATATCTCGAATCCGGTCCATTTTAGAGAAATTAGGTATTGAACAAAAATTATAGATAATTATATCACAAACAACTTTTATTTAAACAATTTTCATCAAAATTTGATTTTTTTACATTTTGTTAAATTTCTCGAATACCAATCATTTAAGGAAAATTTTGTAAAGAACAAAAATTATAGAGAATAATACAGGGTGTCCCAATGAAAATAACCCTCGTTTCCATTGGATAAAATTTGGTTACGGAGAATTTAAAAGAGATTTTTAAAAAACATCCTGTATAGGTAATACATAATTTCTGTGTCACTGAAGCAAAACGTATAGTAAAATAGCACATATCAGCAAAAACCGCACGTTTCTACGATTTGTTTAAAAGTTATAAGCTCTGGAAATGGGCTACTTTTCATTGGGACACCCTGTATTAGAAGTAACTTTTATTTGAAGATTTTTCTTCTCCAAACGTAAATAACAGATATACTTCATAAAATATAAAAATGACCCCCTATGAAGTACCCCCTCAGATGTTCCGACTCTGTCCAAAATCTAATCAGTTCACCGCAGGCCGGAATAAAGCTTAGTTTAAAATTTTTGTGTTTTTCTTTGTATCCGTTCATGAGATATCGTGGATACAAACACACACACAAATACACACACACACACATACACAACACACACAACACACACACACACACACACACAACACACACACACACACGCACACACACACGCACACACACACACACACACGCACACACGCACACACACACACATACACACACGCACACACACACACACACACACACACACACACACACACACACACACACACACACACACACACACACACACACACACACACATCGCAAAAATAGTCAAAACGGATTCAGGGAACCCCAAAACGTAAAATCCGTCAAAAACTCGAGGTCGAAAAAAATCATGATTCCTATACTTTCCTTATCTGTATACAGATAGGAAAGTAATATTTATGTAAAAAATAAATTGTGAAAAATAAAAGGAAAGTTAGTTTCAACGGCCAGAAGAACTATTTATACAGGATTTTAAGTATACCTTAATACTTTTAAAGATTTTCCATAAAATTTCAGACAATTTATAATTCCTGGCGAATTCCGGACAAAACGCCAAAATTCCGGATTTTTCCTGACCTCTGGTAACCCTAAATACAACATACCAAAGTTTCTGGAAATTTGACCGGTACTTCAATAGAAATTTTAATTTTATTTTTATCTAAATGTTATGACATTCAAGAATTCAAAAAAAAAAATGCATATATGACTGATGTTTTATTGCTTTACGTCGAACGGCGTTTTTTACTGAGTGAAACCCATAAAACTAAGAAGGAAAAATAATGATTATTTACAGTTTACGCAATAAATCGCCAATGGAGTGTAAAGGGAAAGAAACCAAACTAACTGTTAGGTGGGGAACACAATTTATTCTGCAAATTCTTCGTCGGTAGTGTTGGTATCAATCAGTCTTACTTTCCAGGTCACATAAGAAGCCGAAAGACGGTTTTGGCGTGAAAGTTTTCGGTGAAATAAGTAATACGTACATTGATATGTTTAAGTTTATGGTTCAGTGATGCGTTATTAAAAATTTTAAACTAATAATTCGAATTAATAAGTTTTTTGTGGATCAAACTAGATTTTTAGAAAAGCAGAATGGAAAACATGGTTGGTATATTTTTTTTTCTTGTAATTTTTGTTTTTTTTTTGTATTGTAGTTAAATAAATGTATGTTTGATAGTTTCCTCTGAATTAATATTGAAAAATATATTATTTATTAATTATAATGAATATTGATGGAGTACTTAGTAACAATAATGTGATTTATATATTAATATAATACAGAGTGAGTTCGAATTTTAGTTGACCCGTATAATTTTGGTTGAAGACTGAAAGAACATTTTTGGGTGCACCACAGTGATCTCGTATGCATTCATGCCATCATGTACAATTTAAAAATTTTGGGTCAAAGATGTACAGTGACATGTCCCAAATTTAAAAATATTTTCCCAAAAATGAATGATTTTATAAATTTTATAAAATTTGGGCAATAGTATAAACATTAGACCTAGGTACCTTAATACACTCCGGGGCATATTTAAGTGTGGACTGATTGGGCTATAGCCCAGGGCGGCAAATTTTAGGAGCGGCAAATACTTCATCACATTGATGTTAAAAAAACCAATAGGAATCTTTAAGTGTCTGTATTTTCCTAAAGACTCCAGATTATTCAGATTTGATCGACTCCTTGGCGCCACAGCAGTCTTGAAGAGAAGTTATAAATACTATTTTTATAACTTTATAGCAAACATACGTGAAAAAATGCGCTGATGGTGGGCTGGCTGACCAAGATTTAAGTAGCCCGGGGCGGCACTGAACCTAAATACAACCCTGAAAATTAAAACGTTTTTTAATATTTTTATAACATTTTAATACAGTTACATATTTTTACATAACAATAAAAGTAGGATAACCATATTTGCTTTTGAGCCAATGCTAGACGCAAAGATCTTTTTCTGCTCCTCAACTCAAAGAAATATGATTTTTAGAATAAAATTGTAGGTTTGTCAATAATGACTAGTAACAATACTGAAAAAAAAAAGAAAACAAAAAAAAACAAAAAAACAATAAAAACAAAAAAAAAAACAAAAAATCAAAGATATTTGCATATTTGCATTTGAGCCAATGCTAGACGTGAATATCTTTTTTTGCTCAAAGAAATATGATTTTTAGAATAAAATTGTAAGTTTCTCAATAATGACTAGTAGCAATACTGAAACAAAAAAAAAATTAAAAAAAAAAAGAAATACTAATTAAAAACAAAAAAAAAAAACAAAAAAAAAACAAAAAAAAAGAAAAAAAAAAACAAAAAAAAAAAAAAAAAAACAAAAAAAAAAGAAAAAAAAAACAAAAAACAAAGATAAAGTCATTTAGAAACTTTTGTTTTTTTCTCCTCAACTCAAAGAAAAACGCAAGTCATGTAGAAACTACTGGAGGTCCTTTCTTTTAGCTCCCCAAGTCTTTTAGTTTGGTCACTGGTCACCCTAAATAAAAATCAGGAATTCTAACCTCGTGGAGGGTGCGGGGGTTGGGGGGTGCATTGCCTCCTGGAACCGCCCTCACGAGATTTTTACGTATAGTGGCCCTAAATAAAAGGCTTATGAATTGTGAAAAAATTAACCTCGGAAGGGCGGGCCCCCCTGGAGCCGCCCTTGAAGTGAAGCTGGGGGTTGTGGACTGGGGACTGGGGGTGGGTGGCTTGATAGTTACGGTATGGACTTCGGAATCCTACCGTAGCCTCGATCATTCACTGTTGTGTTCTAATTAATTGCGCTGTTTTTCTAAAATGGCACTGGGAAACAGTGTGAACGCCCATACTATAGAGTATTAGAGTACCAGTACTCCGTAAGCTACACAATACCTACAGCTAATGACCTAAGTTGCCTAAGCCGAAGATCCAAAAAAAAAATCCAAAAGGAGCTAAACTGAATTATTTTTCTACATTGTTAAATGGAACATTCTGTATAACTTTTATATTACGATATACTTCGGAGTTTGATATCTCCGTTGTTTTGAGGGATACAAACAAAAGTTTTAAATACAAATTATAGATAGAATCCAGCTCCACATTTTAAAATTATTTCGTAATATACAGGTTGTTTTATAAGGTCACAGCATACCAAAGTTATGTTTTTTTAGTGGAACACCCTAGATGTTATCTCGAATTTGAATTTTGCTCATTTTCCCCATTCCGGCAATATAGGGTTTTATCAGGTTCTACACGGTACTTATGTACAACAAGAAGAACTGAATCAAAACCCAAAATATTAATTGACAATTAGTTGACAAACATAACATTACTGAATACCTTCTGTCAAATACGGCAGTCATATAAAAAACTTTCAGTATTTGACAAAAATATCGTTTTATTATTAAAAATCGAAAAAACTCTGCGACTGTAACATTTAGGTATAGGGAATGCTTAACAAAAGTGAAAGTATTTTGTAAATAGTTTATAAAAATGATATAAGATTAGATTAGATTTAATTAGGACTATGGGCCATGTGGCCTCCCCCACCTCGACCTTTTCAGATCTATTGTGGATATCCTTTAATCATTGTTTAGAGTACCCTGTCTAATGCGGTCTTTTGTAGTAGACTCCATAGACTGTGAAGTAGTTCTCCGGTATAGCTAGTTGCCCTTGGTTTTTCTTCTCCAAGTGTAAGGAATCTCAGTCTTACTAGACCTTCACAGAAGCACAATACGTGTTCTGCCGTTTCCTCTTCTTCTTGACAGAATCGGCACAAGGCCTCTTCTGTCAGACCGATATTGAACATATGTTTGTTAAGCCTACAATGCCCTGTTAATAGACCTACTAGTATTCTAGTATTTTTCCTATTAAGGCTTAGTAGATGCTCGGTGAGTTTAGACGATGGTCCCTTTAAGAACTTTTTGGCCTGTCTCTGTCCTGGTGAGTTTCCCACCACTCCTGAGATTTTTTAAACATCCACTGCTTTGTGCATGTTCTAATAGTTGTTTTTGTTACACCACAGAAGGGTTCTGGGCCAATAAGAGCATTTGAAGCTCCTTCTCGGGCTAGTAAATCAGCCTCTTCATTGCCTTTGTGTCCCCTGTGGCCTGGTACCCAGGTTAAGGTTAGTCTGTTTTGACTACCCAGCTCTGTTAGGGCTTCCAAACAGTCCCACACAAGCTTTGAGTGTACCTGCATGGAACTGAGTGCTTTTAACGTCGCTTGACTGTCTGAGTATATGACAATGGCTTTTCCATTTACCTTCTGTCTTAATACTTCTTTTGCGCAGTGATGTATTGCTTCTATTTCTGCCTGGAATACTGTCGCATATTTACCTAAGCTCAGTGAGATTCCTGTCTTTGGCTTGGTACTATATATACCTACTCCTGAACCTTCATGGGTTTTGGAGCCGTCTGTATACCAGGTGAGATCTGCATGAATAGGAGGTCCTCCCGTCCACGCTTCCCTGTCTGGTATACTTACTTTATATTGCTTTTGAAAGCTATACTTTGGAAGCATTTCGTCTGAAGGCATTCCCATTATTTGGTCGTTCTCCAACTCTTTATATAGCTCGCTGTAGTCGCGTCCATGCAAACTGCTTATGGGCGATGAACCTTTGTGCAGTCTGTATGTGACAGACCTGGCTTCGCCTTGAATGAATATATGTAGTGGTGTTAGGTTTAGCATGACTTCTATAGCTGCTGTTGGAGTCGTTCTCATAGCTCCCGTGGTACTCAGGCATGCTTGCCTTTGAATACCATTGAGCTGTCGAATGGCTCCAGCTTGCCGAGTCTTTGGCTACCAAACCACCGACCCGTAGGTTATCATCGGCCTTATGACTCTGGTATATAACCACAGGGACATTTTTGGTTGTAATCCCCAATTTTTTCCACACATCCTTCGATATAAGTTGAAGGACGTTGTGCTCTTTTGGGTGACTTTTTGCAAGTGATGATTCCATGTTAACCTGTGGTCAAAGATGACTCCCAAGTATTTGGCCTCTTGAGCGAATGGAATCTTCACTCCTTTCAGTACTGGTGACTTTAGTCCTGTTGGTACTTTTCGTTTTGTAAAGTTGACTATTGTGGTTTTGTGAGGGTTTACTGTTAGTTCCTCCTCTCTGCACCACTCGTCGACAATGTTTAGAGCGGTTTGTGTGCGCTCCGATATTGTACCTGCGAACTTGCCTCTTATGACGATCGCCAGGTCATGATATAAGATACGGGGTGTTCCATGTGAAATAACCGAGAAAATCATGGTCGTGAGTTTTGGGTTACCCTGTATACAAAATGAAAGATATCAAAAACATAATGAGTTTCAACAAAACTAGACTACTACAAAATTATTTTGGCCTTGAAATATTAACCCCCAATTGTTGATTCCAAATAATACAGGGTGGCGATTTCATTAAGATTTTCTCATAAAAGTGGCCATTTCTTTAAAAGTTTCCTGTAGAACCTGATAAAACCTGATATTGCCGGAATGAGGAAAATGAGCAAAATTCAAATTGGACATAACATATAGGGTGTTCGACTAAAAAAAAACATAACTTTGGTATGCTGTGACTTTTTGAAACACCTTGTATATTACGAAATAATTTTAAAATGTGGAGCTGGACTCTATCTATAATTTGTATTAAAAACTTTTATTCGCATCCCTCAAAACAATGGAGTTATGAAACTCCGGAGTATAAGTTGATCTATGAAATATAACTTAAGGAGGTCCTTTCGCCACACCTCTCGCCTCAAATGTTAAAAAAAAGTTATTAGATTATGACTAAAATTAATTTTTTTCTAATAATTGAAGTCCTTATTTATCTAATACTGAACTTTTAACTATACCTTACCTTGCAAATTTTTGAGAATTTTTTTTTAAAATGTGAGTATTTGTACAGTGCCTCACGAGAAAGTAAGTCCTCAACAACAATTCTCGAATTATACTATTATTTATTGATTAGATGGAGTAGAAAAAAAACTAAAAATAAGGTTTTTGAAATATTTAGATTTTGTTTTATACAATAAAATATATATAGTAAACCGTGGAACTTATTGAGAAATTATTATTAAAAAATCACAAAGTAACCTAGTTGAAAATTTTTTGTGATTTTTTAATAATAATTTCTCAATAAATTCCACGG